ACCTGCTTTATCCATTCCAAAACCAGTTCTGAAGTGTGTTTGGGATCATTGTCTTGTTGGAACAGCCACTTGTGTCCAATGTTCAACCACTGAGCTGCTGATTTTAGGCAAAGATGAAGAATTTGGAATTCGTCCACCTTCTTCATGTTTCCACTTTGTGCAATGTACCAGGATCACTGGCAGCAAAACAGATCCAGAACATGATGCTACCACCACCATGCTTGAAAGCATAAAAACTGCTACAATGTTCTTAAGACTAAAAGCCTCACATTTACTCCTCCAAACTCATCACTGCGGCCAAATTGCTCAATCGTTGTTTCGTGTGACAATAAAGCTTTCATTCAGAAGGCATTTATGGCTTGTCCAATTTCAGTAGAGCTTAAAGGTGTCAATTTTGGAGCATGGACTTCATCATCACTCCACCATGTAAAAATAAATCATTAAAAGCCCCAAATTACCATAGAATTCATGCCTATGATGATTGCATGTAAACTTCTGTAGATTGCTGCAAAACGTCATACATTATTTGTCCCAGTCACTCTCATTTCAATACAACCATGACAGCAGTTTGTACAGACTGAACTTTTTTGTCTATAAAATTAACACGTTTGATTGCTTCATAAAAAGTGTTTCCATACATTTGTGATGATACGCAGCTGAAACAATTCTGACTGAGATTTGTTTCTGCATTTTTATCCGTGAAAATGTTTGCATTCAGGATAATGCACCAACAACCTCAACAGGAGATTAAGCAATTTCAGGACCTTGGGTAGTTCTTGGTGAACATTTATATGATGTGCCATCTATTATTGTATTTACAAAAGCCAAAATGTATGCCATCTTTTTTGTGCGTTGAATGAGGTCAGCAATTACTTGAGGTTATGTGACCACATTAGAAGTTGGTCAGGACCTCTGCCAAACCCTGTTTTGGGGCCAGCACTACTGAAAGAATTTCTCTCTATGGAGGAAACAGACAGCTCACTGACTGTGCTCACTCCTGTCAGGTTGCATTAACAGGCTTCTCACAGTCCATCTGTTACCCCTTTTTCCTCTCTCTGGAACACATTATGGTCACCGCTGCAGTCCTGCATCCTTCTGCAGGAAACACGCTCACACTAATCCGATTACAAAAATGTACCAATTCTTTTCCCCTTCCTTCCCCCCCCCCCCAAATATCCACACAAACACAAGTTACATGTAGTGTGACCTAGCTTAACAGGAGTAGTTTCTCCATGTTTTCTATGTTTACGTCTGAAAACAGCACGGGGGATAGAAGGTTCATTTATCACAAAGCCTTGTGTGAAGCCATCTTCAGGAATTCGCTCCTGCTGATAAAGGGCAGAGGTGGAGCACAAAAGTGACTTTGTATGTGATGTGTACATAGGGATGGAGGTTAGAACCACTTTAGGAGCCAAAATCTCAGCGGCAGAGCCAAATTGTGGCCGAGGTAAAAAATAGAGCTCTTGTTTTCGGAAGCTACTTGGTGGGAATGAAGGCTCAGTTCAACAAAAGTGGAGTGGCCTTGCAGCCAGATCACAGTTTACCTCCCCTTTTCACAGTTTCTCTGTGGGCCAAGTGCCTCACTTCAAAAAGCATAATTTTAATAGGCTCTAAAAGATCGAACTTACAATAGCCTTTCCTTGCTGAAATAGTAGGTATTCACACACGTTCAATACAGGACATCAGAGAAGAGGCACACTGTGAGAAAATGTGCCAAAACTGGGAACAAGCTCATGGAGACAAAAAGGACCTTCTTCCTAGGAAACAGAGCCAACATTTCCTCTTTCTGAAACATAATGGTCTGACTGAACCACTGAGTGACCGACAGACTGAGCTACTGAATGACTGGCCGACTGACTGAAGGTTAGGCTGACTTTGTGGTCCAGTACTGTATTGTAAATACATCAAAGTGGGTAAATAATTCTTGTAAACTAAATTTTTAGCATTCAAAATGTTGTAAGTTGTAATGTTGTAATAAGTAGGGCTATATTATAAGATGTGGGTTTTGTGTCCTTATAATAGGATTCTGAACTGAGTCAAAAAAAATATTCACATATTGGGGGGCTATTATTTTATCCAAAATCAGACTGACTTAATTTTGAGTGGGTAACACTGTGAACGTAAATACTGTAGATCTATAATGAAATTCGCCTGTGGAAAGAAGTTAAAAAGTTTACTTGTAATGGTTGTGCACAACTTGATCAATGACGTGCAAATTGTCATGACCACTGATCAACAACCATTGATCAAAGACCATTGATCAGTGGCCTAGTTTTAGTCGTTGTGCAAATGTACTGTTTATAAGGTTGTGAAAACCTGCAGTCAGCTGAGACTGAAGAAGTCACTTGGATGAGTGACGAAGCGTTTCTCCCACTGAAAACACTACGTTCAGATGAACAGAATCAGCCTTTTGGGATTTTGATCTTAAGTGGGCCCAAAGAGTGAAACTACACTTTCCACATTTAATCCCTGAGATTTCTTAATATAAGATAATGAAATTTTTACAATTTACAATTACAATTTTGGCAGCACATCTCAGTTTTTCCACATGATAAATGTGTAAAATTACAGAAAAGGTTCCAGTAGCTCACTGCCCAGACTGTCCCATATTCATAAAACGGACGTTTGTATAGTAGACAGTGAAATATAACAATTTTTCTGTCATTTAATTGTTTATCTATTACTGAACTGAACATTGGTGCATAATGAATGGCTGTAGGCTAGGTCTTTATCAGCAGTGAAAACTGTAAAGCTTTTTTTTTTTTTAAAGTTAAGTTTCCAATATTTATACCTTCTTTAATATTTTGTAAACCCATTCAGCAGGCCGGATTGCAGTCTTTGCCGATCGATTCTGACTATGTTTGACATCCCCTGCTCTAAGTTCAGTGGGACTGTAAACAGTAATGTATTAAAAAAAATCTGTTATCACTCAGATGGGCTGGAAAAAAACTCAACAACTTGGTCTATGGCAAAGTTCTTTCACAATCAACGGGTTTCCCCCCCTCTAAAGCTTAGTTAGTTTGTGTTTTACAAGACTAAAATGGTTGTGTTCAGTGATGTACTCAGAAAGATGTAGTTTTGGTTCCAGCAGACATAACCCGTCGATGTCCAACAATCAGACTAAGTTTACACAGTGTAATTAGGCAACACGTTCTCGGGTTGATGAAATAATCAATTCCGACACCACGTGAGAACACTGAATGTAACGTTTTCTGCTGCAACCCACAAACTGAACGGTTATGTAACGACACTCATCTTTTACCTTTTCACTAAAGCATATCAGTTTCCACGCCTGCTTGGTTGCAATGGTAGAGGAGTCAACTGGATCCGCGCTCCCTGTGCAGTGCGCGCTCCCGACGCATTGGAAACAAATTCTGTCGGGGATAACTACCTTGGCACGACACCTGCCATAACCTGTTCTCGGAAGAGATCCTTTACAAAATAACCGCACACCGTTAGCTAACGGTCGGAGCCTCATTATGTGCAACTTGCTCTGAGTGCAGGTGTTAGGAAGAGGAGCCCCGGGCATTATTTGACTGTGAGATGCCAAAAACCAACAGCACGGAGATTTCTCAAGGCTATTTTACTCACACTTTGTTTTCATAATCACGTTTTAATACTGAACACCACACTGTCGGCCAGCTGTGTATATTTCCTGTCGTCACTATATCAAATCCTCTCACGCCATCTACTCTAAAAAGCACACGTTGTAAGTTGCATTGCTTGAATGTGGACACTGGATTTATCGGCCATCAGTTAAATACTGCACAAGAAGTCGTCTCAGAGATAAATGAATAAGCTTAGCATTTGAGCTAATCAATCTTTTTTTCTGACATTTTGTAATTTTTGGTGTTACATCTAAGAAAAAAATGAATGCTTGAAAGACACAATGCAATGAAAAGCACAGCTAGTTAATAAGAATTGCATTTTAATCAAAAGCTCTTGCTTTAGATGAGAAGTGCATTTAATCAGGTTTTGCAGGATTTCTTTTTAATGAACAGAAATAATAACTGCAGACAATGAAGGAAACGGCTTGCTGAAAAAATGTTAGTATGTTTTTTTGTTTTTGTCTTTTTACACAGCAGCACTTCATGGACAAATCAGGAAGCGTTGCAGAGATCAGGTTAAATAAACTAAGTGTCCCAAGAGCTTTCGCTAAGCTTCTGTGCCAAATAAGTTTGAAGCTTTCTGGAGCAATGACTTCACTTATTTTTTTCATCTGTGAACCCAGAACAATATAAAGTGTTTAATAATCAAAGCTACTCACCTTTCATAGTGTCAAAGTGTGACAGTTTCCAGGAGAGAGCAGACCATATGGAGCTCTGCTGCCGCTTCAGGTTTCACTATATAACACGCTTGTTATATAGTGAAGGGGGCGGAGAACTGAGAAACTGGAAACTTTGGTGAAACTGAGTGATTTTTCCCTCTGCTTTGCCCCATAAGCGCGCGCGCGCGC